AAAAAAAAAATTTTAGAGTAATTTTTTCTAATACTTTCAGATATGGAACAAATTGTCAAGCCCCACCACCCTGCCTTTTTTCTGAGACAGGGTCTTGCAGTAAACAAGATATAATTCATAAAAAAAAAAATTTAATCAATGCTTAAAAAAAAAAAAAAAAAAAAAAAAAATATTTTAGAGTAGTCACAAGCTTGAAAGATCCTGAAGACCCCAGTAAGTAATTCTTATGGCAGTAGGGGATTTGCAAGATGTTACACAAAGATTCTCTTTTCAAATAAATATAAGCAAGACAGAAAATTGGTAGGATCATAACTGTCCATTTTATGCCAAACGATCTGGTTTACTGGAATATGACTCCGTTTCAACAATACATTGAGAATTTCTAAAATTTAACAATTCTTTTACACATTGGATTGAAAAAATCTGTAGTAATACTATACCAAGGATTACAATCACAACTATTTCATTAGTAACAGTGGTAATGGGCAGTGAAACGCTTTTTTTTTTTTTTCCCCTCAGAGTCTCACTCTGTCCCCCACCCTAGGCTGGAGCACTGTGGTGGGAACTAAGCTCACTGCAACCTCCACCTCCCCGATTCAAGTGATTCTCCTGCCTCAGCCTCCTGAGTAGCTGGGACTACAGGCGCACGCCACCACACCCGGATAATTTTTTATTTTATTTTATATTTATTTTGAGATGGAGTCTTGCTCTGTTGCCCAGGATGGAGTGTAGTGGTACAATCTTGGCTCACTACAACATCTGCCTCCAGGGTTCAAGCAATTCTCCTGTCTCAGCCTCCCCAAGTAGCTGGATTACAGGCATGCGCCACTATGCCCGCCTAATTTTTATATTTTCAGTAGAGACGGGGTTTCAACAAGTTGGCCAGGCTGGTCTCAAACTCCTGGCCTCAAGTGATCTGCCTGCCTTGGCCTCCCAACATGCTGGGATTATAGGTGTAAACCACCATGCCCAGCCTGAAAACCCTGAAATATATATTCTCTATCTCCCTTAATCAGAATCTTGAACAGAGGGAGGAAAAAAGCAGACATAGTTCAAATGCTTAAAAGTAAGTCCAAATGGCACAACTCTTTTACCTGTCCAACTGAATGTGCGAGGCCTTTTTGGTAAAGCTCCATAGTTTCTCATTCTCTTCTCCCACACCACCAAGCATGGCAATCTCACCTACAATCATGAATAAGAGAACTGGAACAGTGAAAATGGTCACATATAAAGTAATCAACACAACTCATGTCTGGGTGGGTCTCTAGTGTTCTTGAAAACAGTTCTTAAATGATGCCACAGTCAAATTCCCAAAAAGTTAAAGTAGAAACTATTTTAGAAGTGACTCTAAGATCAAATCCAAGAGGAAAAGGGATACACAGTGACAACATTTTACCAGAGATGAAAAATCTATCTGCTCTATACAAGGAAATCAACCAATTTTAGGCAAACCAGAAAGCCCAGGGACTTCTTCCCATCTCTCCTATAGAATCATTATGAACTTCAATAGGAGCCAGTACAAAATATTGCCCTGAGAGGAGCAATAGGGGATAGGGTTGTGTTTGTTTGTTTGTTTTTGAGACTGGGTCACGTTCTGTCGCTCAGGTAGGAGTGCAGTGGTAGGATCATAACTCACTGCAGCCTCGAACTTCCGGGCTCAAGCAATCCTCCCATCTCAGCCTCCCAAGTAGCTGTGACCACAGGTGCACGCCACCATGCCCAGCTATTTTGTTTCTTTTTTGGGTAGAGATGAGGTCCCACTATGTTGCCCAGGCTGGGCATAGGGCTTGAAAAGCCAAATGATGCATCTATGTTTTCCTAAAAGAGTATCATACATCAGATTACAAATTATTCAACAGAATAATAAAAAGAAAATGTCAGGCCAGGTGCGGCAGCTCACACCTGTAATCCCAGCACTTCGGGAGGCCAAGGTGGGTAGATCACGAGGTCAGGAGATCGAGACCATCCTGGCCAACATGGTGAAACC